GCCGTAGTTCCAGCAGGCTAACATCTCCTCCTATCCTCTTCAGCCAACCGCATCGGCCGTAACAACCTCAACATGCTCACTAGGACCGTCTCCCAGCTCGCGTCCTCGCTAGGGCTTGGCCTCGACCTTGGCGGGCTTCTGGGTGGTCTTCTCGGCGGGCTTCTCGGCGGCATCCTCTGAGTAATTGCTGTCCTAGCATGTATGGGTGGAGATTGGTGATATCAGTTTATTGGTTTGGGGTTGCCAGTACCAAGGCGAGACTATAATGACAAAGAGATACTATTCCATGTTATCGGTGTTGACTATATATTGGCAAAGCACGGGTTTGACAAGATTGGTGAATTGATCATGGATTTCCCATTGGGCTTTTTTTTGAATACACATAAAGATTTTCAGGGAAACCACACCGGGGACAGCAACATCGCCATCCTCCGCCTTTAGCAGACAAGCACATGCCAAAGCAGCCATCACCACAAGTCAGTCAGTCACCTCGAGGCCCGGCTGACCCCTCCCTCCCCCGGATCCCGCAGGGGCCGGAAGGGATCGTAGGGCTCGGAGCACCGCGCGCACACCCTGGTCTTGGGCGGCTTCAGCCCCTCCAGCCCTGCGCCGCTGCCGGCCTGCTGCTGCTGCTGCTGCCGGACTCGCTCATAGCCGGACTCGCCGGGCGCCGTCAGCCGCCCCCCGAGCCCCTGGCGGGCCCCGAGCCAGGCGTCAACGGACCTGGCGACCCGCGCCGCCACGATCCTGGACCCGCCGCCGCTTCCCTTCCTCTGCTTCTGCTTCTTGTTGCTAATAATACTACCACTTACCGGGACGGCGGCGTCCTGTCGCTGACCGCCGCCGCCGCCGCCGCATGCGGGACACGTGGGACCACTAGGGGCCGGCGACGACAGCGCCGGGATGATGGGCCTGAGCTTTGTGGGGTTGGCGCGGGCGCGCGCCTCCTCGTAGGCGTTGAGCTCGGCGATGTCGCGCAGCGCGATGGTCCTGTCGACGCCCGCGCAGGGCCCCGACGCGAGCGCGAAGTCGAGGTAGAGCTTCTCGCCGCGGCAGGGGGGCGCCTCCACGGGGCCGCCGGCCTGCCTCTCCGGGCGGCGGGTGGGGGATTTGTTGTTGTTGCTGCGGAACATACCCATGGCTGTTGAAGACGTGCTGGAGGTGGGTTGACGATAAGGCGAATCAGGAGGTGTGTGCGTGTTTAACAGCCGGATGGGTTCTGCGGTTCTTTCTATATAATACAATGCCAACTACAGTCTTGACCCGCGGCAGGGGGGGAGATGGCTGGTCTTTTATGCTACGGTGAACAATGGAGGAGAAGTTCCTCCGGGCTGAAAGGAAGACACCCCATTGTCCTGAGCTTGTTGTGCAAAGGTTCAACAGCATCAACAAAGCAGATGGTTGAAAAGAGCAGCATATGCCTGATAATGAACGACAAAGACCACAAGGCAAAAAGACAAAGGACCCATTCTGCAACATTCTCCCCGACGACGCTCCATCTAGACTTGCGGGTGCGTATATAGTGATGGCACTCTATATCGTCCCTTTCCAGCAAGGTCTGGAAAGAAACCGGGTTACAAACTTCCAAGCAACGGGCAAGAAAGCTCTTGTCCGTTCTCTCGTGTCCTTCTCTTCTTTCTCTATTGCATAATAATCTCACCTGGTCAAGATGTGCCACTACACCTGGAGCGGGTGCTACCGGTGCGGCACCCGCCTCCAGCCGCAGGCGAGAAAGCTCCAGATATGCGACGACATCCGGCTCCGGCAGAGCAGCCTGCTCGTGCTCCTGTGCTGCGTCGTCCCGCCCACGCGCTGCCGCGGCGAGCCCCCCGACAGGTACGTCGACCCCAAGCCCGACCGCGTCTGCCGCCGCTGCGCCGCCGGCCCCGACAACGACGCCATCCCACCGCCGCCCTACCCCGCCATGACCTACGCCCCGGCCGACCGCCGGGTCCCCGGCCCGGACGCGGCCGGCTACCGCACGCACGAGCGCGTGCCGGAGCCCGACCGCAGGGAGAGGACCGAGGGCGACAAGGAGGAGAGGGAGCGTCGTCGGAAGCTGCAGAAGAGAAAGGACAAGCACCGGGCCAAGACCTTCGACAAGCTCAACGGCGGGCCCGATAACGGCCCGCAAAGCCCCTGCCGGCCCGCACGAAAGAAGAGAGGCCGGCCCGCCGACAAGGGAAACGCGTCGTCGTCGACGACGCCGCCGCGGCGCTTCTCCGTGGGCGAGCACACCCAGGAGTACTATGACACAATGCACGAGGCGTACCGCGCCCGCGGCGCGCCCTCGCGCACCCCCAGCGGCGGCGGCGGCGGCGGCAGCAGCGGTCAGGACCCCGAGTCCTCCGCAACGGCGGCGGCAGCGGCGGCGGCCCGAAGCCGGAGCACGGAGGTGAAGGACTCGCCGCCGCCGCTCAACCTCGGGGCCACGCGGTACACGGCGGAGCGGCGCAACGCCCACCTAGACCACGCCCACGTGCTCGCCGCCGAGCACGTGTCGGCCGCCCGGGCCGGCAGGCCGCAGCGGCCCGCGAGGGCGGTGCTGCGACAGATGACCACCACCGCCGCCGCCGCCGCCGCCGCCACCACCACCACTACCCCGGGCCGTTACGAATTCCCGCCCCTCGCCACCGTGGTCTCCTCGAGGCCCGTGAGGATCGTGTCTCCGCTGCACGTGGAGCGCTCCATGCGCGCGCTGCTGGAGGGGGACCCGGCGACGCCCAAAGAGGAGCGCGTCGACGAGGGGCCGAGGGGGACGACCACCACCGTCGCCGGCCCCAGCAGGATCCCATGCCCCCCGACGCCCGTCGCCGCCCCACGTCGTGAGGCCGGGATGAGGCGGCGCTTCGGCAGCTTCGGCGGCTCGCGGGTTCCTCGTTGCGCCGCGTGGCTCGCCGACGACGAATGCCTCGTCATGTGCAGCCCAGGAAATTGTCGCCACAGCGAAGCGAGACGACGGGACTGGCTTGGGCGAAACATCGCTCGCTCCGCGCCTAGTGAGGCCTCGTCTGATATCTCTTTTGTGTGCAAGACTTCGGCCAAAATAGAGTGCAAGAGGGAGTGCTAACAGATCCATCAGTCGACTTAGACTCATCAGTCGACTTAGACTCATCAATCAACTTAGGCACCTAGGTAGGTTGGCCCAGAGGCAAATGATCGAACCTCTCCTGCCGCCCTGTGTCGTAGAAATCGTCATCGTCAAGCCCCAAAAAAGTTATAGTTGAAATATAGTGATATTTGCCAACGTTATTCAAAACATGACTGCCAGGCATGCTACACTGCTGCTTAGTAAAGTCCCGCTCTCCTGTTTCATCCAAACCTGTCATCTTCCAACGAGTCCACCTTGACAAACAGTGACATATCTGTGTTTTTGGGTAATTAAGCCCTTCGTTGTGCCAAGACAAATCTTTCGGCTCGTCGCAGCAATCTTGGCATCCAGCCCCTTGGGAGGCTCGAGGCGTAACGGCGAGGCAGCGTTCCTCGAGGAACGGCTACGGTGCCCATGTGGAGTGCGCAAAATAGCCCTCGCTCAACAGTGAGGGGCTCGCCATCAAGCAACGCACGCGACGTCAAAACATGTAGAGCTCGGGAACCAAGGCACCCTAGTCGAGGCTGTAAAGGCCCCCTCCGAACAAGACAGATGGCGGACCAGGAAAGGCATGTTGATGAGTCCATACGAGATCAAAGGCTTCTCCAAACCTGGAATAGAGAATAGATGCCGTGGCGGATCGTGCTTGGGGATCGACAAGCCCCGAGGCCGGTCGTCTGCAGTTTCTCCTCTTGACCTCGCGCTGGCATATGGCTTCCCAAGCCGACCCCCACCCCGCCGCACCTTGAGAGTTGGAACTAGTTCGCCTTGCCGTTCTTGGTCGCGGCGTCCTTGGTGGCGCGGTACTTGGCAATCTCCTTCTGAACAGCCTTGCGGACGCGGGCCTGGAGCTCGGGACGGTAGCCGAGAGCAAAGAGCAGCTCCAGCCAGACAAAGAGCGGGGCGAGAAAGATGGCCTGGAACAAGTTGTCGAGCAGGGCGGGGGCGCGGCCCTCGAACTTTCCGTGGCCGATAAACTGCATGATCCAGCACACGATGTGCAGAGCCAGGGCCGCCTTGGTGGTGCCCGCCTGGTCAACCTCGATCAGATAGTTTCCAGTGGCCGCGGCACCCAGACAGATGAGAGCCAGCAGCGTGCCGGCCACGGGCTCGAGCAGCAGGTAGAGGCCGCCCCATGCGAGCGAGGCCAGCGTGCCGAGGGTCGGCTCGAGGTGCGGGATGGTCAGCCAGCTCGGGAGGTAAAAGAGCGCCCCAGTGTTTGAGGCCTATTAGAGTTTATTTGCGGTGGCCATGGTCCAACAAGCTGTCAGTCGATTTTGTGAAGGCGCCGGAGGGGCGGCATTGCCAGGGGAGGCAGGCATTGCGATCGAGGGCGCGTACGAGAGTAAAGCCAGAGAACAGGATCAATGGCACGCAGACAATGTGGATGCCGATGTTGACCGAGTTCGAGTGGTATGCACCGTACTGCGTTTGGTTGCGAGTGTCACGTTAGCAGTCAGGGCCAGAGCCAGGGCCAGGGAGACACATGGCAGGACAGCGCCAGGCAGGGTCTGCTCTTACAAAGGTGAGGTGTTTCTCGAGGTCGAGCGACATGGTCGGCCAAAGTCTGCCTGTGGCCGACAGGATCGATCGTGTGCGACAGCTGCTCGAGACAAGATCGAGGGTCAAGGGTCGGGGGCTCGTGTGTGCGTGGCTAGAGAGCAAGCAATACCAAGTGTGCGCAGCCCGAGGACATGGCTGCCCAGCAAGGTCGACGGAGGAGGAGGAAGGCGGCAGTGGTTGAAGGTTGGCAGTGGATTGGTCAACGAGCAGTGGTCTGTTCAACTTGCTCAATGCGCCCTTCCGTGTTCATGTGCCGGGTGTGTGGCACGTGTGTGGGTCTGCAGGCGCGGGAGCTGCAGTGCATTCAACATGCTACCGCAATGCTTGTGCTGTTGGTGCCTGCGCCTGCTGGCCTTGGGCGGCCTGTAGGTACGTCCCAGCTCAGTGTCAGTGCACGTGCCAACGCTCCCAGACGGCCCACCCATCTGGTGTGGATACGCAGCTCTAGCCTCTGACTGGACGCGGCGAACGCGCTATTCCGTCAGCCTCGTCGCAGCTTCGACATCTGCCAGAAATTCAGCGCCGCCGCCCTTTGTCCTGCTCCTCAGCCTCGACGCGCCGGCGACCGTCGCGTTTGTGCCCGCACCAGGCCCACCCAGTAGAATATCCCAACAGGCTCTTGCTCTTGATCGCTGCGTCGCGGCGTGCTCCGCCTTTTTTCCCCGGTCGTTTCGCTCCCTGGGACCCTCGTTACTTTCCAGACCTGGTTCTGATTGCTCTGCTCGCTCTCTCTTTTGCTTGCTCGCGCTGTTGGCGCACGACTCCCCACGGTCCCGGCGACAACCATCCCTTCAGGCGCGCCTCGCAACGGCCGTGCTCTCGCTCGCTCGCTCCGACGTCGGCGGCAACGTCCTCCCCCGCGGTCGAGTTGGGCCTCGCCACAAACCGCCACAAGTGCGGCCTTCTTTGTTGTTCGAGCCCAGATCCGGCCTCCCCGCCGTAGTCTTTGCGTCGTGAGCCGTCGCGCCGCACCCGCACACGCGTACGACCGCACTCCGGGCTACAAGTCCGAGTCACCGGCCACCGAGCGTCTCGAACCAAGACGATCCGGCGGCAAAATGTTTTTCCTCTACAACCTCGAGCGGCGCGTCACGCTGCATCCGTCGTACTTCGGCAAGAACATGCAGGAGCTGGTCACGACGAGACTGCTGCAGGACGTTGAGGGCTCATGTCAAGGAAACTACTATATAATTTCCATCATGGACACGTTCGATATCTCGCCTGGCAAGATCCTGCCCGGAAACGGCCTGGCCGAGTTCACCGTTGGTTACCGTGCCGTCGTCTGGCGCCCGTTCAAAGGAGAAACTGTGCGTGCCATGTGGCGGGCCACCCTCTGTCAGGAGGAAGGGCGAAGGCTGAGGAGCGAAATGCCCGCGGGGAGCAGCTGGCGGCTTTGCTAACCTGCCCGCCTCATGCCAGGTTGATGCCATCGTGGACTCGGTCAACCCTCATGGATTCTTTGCAAACGCTGGGCCGCTCCGGCTGTTCGTTTCGGAACACGTACGTTGAACCTCCAGGCTGGGGGTCTGGCCACCTCAGACCCCCAGAACCGGGCTACGTTACTGATGCAGCAGGGCTGTAGATGATCCCACATCACGTCAAGTACGACCCAAATGCGAGCCCACCGCAGTTTACCGATAAGGAGGACTACCGCGTCGAGCCGGGGACACACGTCCGGGTCAAGATTGTGGGGACGAGGAGCGAGGTGACCAATATGTGGGCCATCGGAACGGTCAACGAAGACTTTTTGGGGTATTTAGAAGCCACCTTCCCCCATGCTGTTTCCCGGTCCGGGTTTCTAACTTGGGGCATCCATCCGCTTTGCAGACCGCTTTCCTAAGAGTTGCGCCCTCGTCCAATGGTCACCTCGTTTGGTGGCCCAGACACCGGGCAGGCTGGCATGCAGAGATGCGCCGCCGCCGGTGCGGCCGGGGCTCCCCCTTGTTTCTTTGTCTGGGCTGCTAAGGCCCCCGAGTCCTCTGCCTCCACTTCTGGACGATGCGCGAGACCAGGCCAGTGCACCCACCATGGCCACCGCCAAGGCATGTCTTTGCGAACCCAGTCTCGCTCGATCGAGGGCTGTGTCTGATGCACATGCACTCCAAGGGGGAAAGTTTGGTTTTCTAGAGGTAAAGGAATCAGCGGGAGGTTCTTTCGGATGGGGGCCCTTGCGAGACAGACGTAAGCCCTTGCGAGACGTAAGTCATGGTAAATGGTAATTGCTATGTCGTCAACATTACGCCTCGGGCAAAGCTTGATGTTCCTGACGGCGCTGTGCGTGTACAATGGATACCCAAGAAGCGAAAAGGAAGTCTGGTCTGGCGCCGTCTACTGGCGGTGCCAAGTAAGGCGGAATCGAGAGGGTTTCCGCAGGCGAGACCGGTGTGGGCGTAATTGATAGGCCGAATACAGGACAGCCATCAGCGGAGGCACGCATCTCGCATTCCCGTGCATGTGGCCGGCCAATGAGTGTCAGTTGAGAGGCTACGGCCGCCGTGGCTGGGCGACGCGTCCTTGCAGGGCAGCCAGGCTCCAGGGGCAAGTCTGACGGGTGCTCTCGCCAGCCGTCATTGGTGGTCTCGTCGAGAGCCTAAATCAGTCGACAGCACGTCAGTCGACGGCACCGGCCGCGGAGAGCACAAGGCACCATTTGCAGCGAATCCGAGGGCCGTTGAGGAAATTGCGCCGCCAAGTCTCGTCCGACGGCGTTGGCTGCTGATGCTGCTTGGCAGCCACCTCTTCAATGGGAGCCAACTCCTGTCCAGCCACCCCCCTCCATCCCATCCCCCGTCAATCATCTACCTCGCCCTTACTGCGCCCACCTAACCCACGTCTGCTCGAAGCCATCGCCACCAGCGCTTCCATCTAGAGTTCGCTGCCCCGTCTTGAATGGCACGCGGGCTACCACCACCCCCCCTAGCCGACGCCATGCGCTTCACTTTCCCTGCCCGCGTTCTAGACGACGACCGTGACGAGTATGATGACGAGCCAAGGCCAATGTCCACCACAGACGCCTCGTCGCCGCACGCTGGCCGTGCCGATGCCGGCCGGTCCGTGCCCGGACAGACGCCTCCTCCGGCAACGACATCATCGCGGGACGAGACCGAGGCCAGGCGGGCGATGCTGCTCGCGCGTCTCCAACGGGGCAGCGTCACCGACGCCGACTGGGACAACGCCACATCGTCGTCGTCGTCCTCCTCCTCCTCCTCCTCCTCAGATGACGAGTCCGAGGACAACGACCCGGATCCGCACAGGGGTGCCGACCACCACACCACACGGCCAACCGGCCTCCAGGGGTCGCCCGTGGGGACAAATTGGGGCGCGGCCGCCACAGACACCACCACGCCCACCGCGGCCTCGACGGCGCAGGTGGGCCGCCCCAGTAGCAGCAGTAGCGTCGCCAGAGGACAGAGGCCACAGCTACCGGACGACCGGGGAGACGACCCGAACCAGGCCTCTGGAAAGTGGGAGTCCGAGCACCTGCAGAAACCCAGGCAAGCCACCAAGAGCCACGACGGCTGGGTGCTGCTGGGGCGCGGCAAGGCACGGCCGCTTGGTCCGGGGGCACCAGGACTCACCGTTACCAGGCCCGACGGCGCCGTTTTTGTGCTGAGACCACCGGGAAATATCAAAGATGGTGGCGATGGGACGCCCGTGGTGAGAAGTTAGTCTCTACATCGACGAGCGAACGGAATGATAAATAATGTCAAAAGCAACAAGATGAGCCCTTCATTGTCTGCACGGCACGACACTTTGCTCAGCATGGTCGCTGTGTCTCTTCCAGTTGGCCGCAGCTCGGTATTTTGTCACACACAAACTCTGGGTAGCTCATCTAGCATCCGCACGATTCTCGTTTTTCTCTACCCGCGCACTCAGAAGAGAATGGGCTCTTCCAGAGCGCTCTTGGCTAGGTAGCTAGGCACCACGGCGCACAACCACAACATCCACCCCACTCTACCAGATGTTTTAGGTCTGTCAGCCTTTCCCATCGCAGGGCGGACAGGCATCTAGGTCGGCGATTTCATCTCGTCAGACGTTGGAGCGGACGCGTGGCAGAAGCGGCCAAGGGGTTTTCCGCTAGCCAGGCTTGACCCAAGCTCCTTCCAAATCTTTCCAGAAGAGGCCACTGTTCCGGCCTAGTTTGTCTTTGGAAGGGGGCTATCGAGGGCTATCGAGCCATCCTAGATGGGCCATCTTGTTGCGCGGGAAACTCTACCGGTTCAGCACACGCCATGGGTCCGTCGCACTAATGCGGTGACGGCCCAGCTCGTACAGTTCCGTTGGAAGCTGCGCCAGTTCCAACCAGCCCCCAAAGCTCACCCAGGGATCGGCAGCCTGGCTGTCTGGCTGCCATAAGCGCCATCCTCTGCTGGTCGTCACACGCACACCCCCCTCCCCTCAGGTTTCCGCCTTGGGTAAAAAAAGAAGGCCGCGACGATGTGATCCGTTAGTTTCTACGTCAAACCCGCGGCTGCCGCCGAGTACCTACAGAGCAAGGGTCACCTGAAACGTGCCTGTTCTAGTGCCCCCCGACGCGTTATCCTCGATCAATGAGAAGAAGCAACAAGGGAGTGCCAAAGGAGAGAATATGGCTGGATGTGCCATAAACGACGCCAATAAGCGCTAGGGGGGAAAAAGAAGAAAAATCCCGCCACGGCTGTCTGTGCTTTCCTGCGTCCCGCTCGGCACGTGCGCCCGCAGCAGACACACTGATGTTTTCGTCCCACCACCACCGCCACCCGGGGTGACGGACACGGGTCAAGTTAAAGGTGATTCACCGGGCGAGGAAGGTTCCCCAGATCAAGGACTCTGTCTAATCGAGGACGTCCCTAGTCGTAGCGGGCTGGCGCCACACCGCAGGCCCAGGACGAAGCTCGCGGCAATGCGCGGAGACAGCAACGGTAGATGTGGCAGGAAAATAAGACAATCAACTTAAACTATCGTCACGAGGCGTAGTAGTCGAACAGGTTTGGCCTCCAGGCGAACTCTCCTTAGCGTGAGCGGCGAGAGAATGATCTAGGCACTAGCTTTAAGCCTCGAGGATGAGGTGCGTTTTAGATATGCTGAGTAAGTCGGCCGTGTTAAAACCTTGGCCATGTTGTTTTGCGTGGATGGTGGTGGCAAACGCCTAGGTGTAAGTTGTCAGGCACGTTTCAGAACTATCGTCGAAACGGGCGCTCTACCCCAACATGCGTGATGGCTATCACGCGTCGGCCAGACGTGGACCTCGAGGAAAAAAAAGAAAGAAAGAAAAACAGTAGCGAAATGGACGTCTCTAGCATTGGCATTGTTATTGGTCGATGAGCCACGGTCGTTCTGGCCAAACTCGACGACGGCCCAGCCGCCGGCGCTGACCCGCGGCGGCGCCGAAGCGGCCCCTCGCGGGCGAAACTCCGGGGCGCTCTAACCGGGGGTCGACGGTGCTGTCGCCGTAGAGGTGTATGGTCCTCGGAGCCGTACCATCATATGGAAGTAAGACACGCACAACATGACTACTTGGGCGACGGCCCCTTTCCGTCTAATAAGAGCAACTGTTGTTGTTATATGTTATATTCCAATGGCTGATATGGCATCAAGACAGGCCCAGGCCCAGACCGTGGGCGCCTCCCCGCCGATACCCACAACAAAGATGGAGGCCACCTTGGGTTTCGAGGGGTACCAAGGCGACCAGAGAGAAAAAAAAGGCACGCTAGAAGAAAAGGCTACATTGGTACAGCGCGGCTGATATGACCACAAGCACCCGTTTTTTGCCGAATCGGGAAATGCAAAGTCTGAGCGTTCGTTATAAGACGATGATCAGCTGCCTCGAGCGGTTTAGCGACATTCGATTAGCGCGGCACGATTCATTCACTACACGCTGGGGTCTGGTTGTTTTGTTTTCGGCGAGGTGCTGCCTTGTTCGAGAGTGGGAGAGAGAGACAGAGCACCGGGCAGACGGCATTGGCAGCGCCCGCCTATTACCGTCAGGCCGGGGGGTCCGGCCAGGCTCAAAGAGGCGGAAACAGATGTGATTCCACAACGACACGACGGCTGCCGTGCGGCTGTCACAACCGACCCACCAGAGAAACTTATACCCGACAGTCACCCGTTGATGCCTTCCAACGGCCCCGCCACCGACATCCGAGCTTCCGGGAAAGGCGGTTCAAATAATCCCAAACGCTGGCGACGGCGACGGGGCTGTATCGTGAGATGCGGCCAGTACCCGGACGTGTTTGTGTACCGATGGGGCGACCTGGTGATGCACAAAGGGCCCGGACAATGGCAATCGTTGTTCTTCATCTCGTTAGGTTCCCGCCACCCATGCCGCCTGCTGCGTGATTGTGTCCGCTCCTCCTCGTCCATCCCAGTCTCCACAACGACCTGACATGCCACGGTCACCTGACATGCCACGGTCGAGGATGCTCCCTGCACCCGGAGTCGCGGTGGCTCGACCAGAGTTCCGGGAATTCATCCCATTTTGCAAACTCGCCCGTGTTTCCGTACAGTACCTTCCCCATCCTCACCCTCTCTCTCTCTCACCCTTGCCTTCGGACATTTCTGGGCTGTCACTTCGGCACCCGCCGAGTCAGGCGCATTCTCCGCGACGGGTTCTGGAAGGAGATTAGAAGGTAGCAGCCGTCGATAGTTTGTTTTTGCTGCTGGATAGGAGTCAGGGGGATGAAAGTGGGAGGTCGGCTTCTTGATGGGGACTCTCAAATCAGAGTTCCGTGGTGGTCGCCATCTCCATGGCGGTGCGGCTCTCTTTGTGGGTGAGTGACATTGCTGCTCTCGCACGTGCATGTGGGCACCCCATGGCCATGGGGCTTTTAGTTTTGAGAAGCCTTTTTTTTTCTCCTCTCCCCGAGAATCCGAGGCATGACAATCGGACATTTACGTTCGCACGGCCTGACGCGCAGGCAGGATCACCCGGGGGTAATGTTTTTTTTTGTGGCCGTGGCAAGAGAGCACACAGCCATCTCTCCCCAACTGCCAACAATAGGGGACTTTTGCTGGCCTCGGCCCTTCCATGCATGCATAACATGGCCGTATCTTTTTTTAGATTGACCACCATGCCCCCGCCGCCGCCTGGACAAAGTGAATCTAAAACCGCTCGTCACATAGCATGAAAGGAAGGGTCTCGCCAGTTGTGGGCTCGACTTATTCCCCTTTGGCGCCGAGGGAAGGAAGCAGTGCTGGCGTGGGGGCTGACGAGGACAGCAACGGGAACGGATGAAAATAGATGGATCCCATATTGTCAACTAATGGATACAACACACTAGGGAAATATGGAGTAACTATACGCAAGGCTCGTAGGGAGGCACAGTCACACCTTTTTTCGGAGGTTTCTTTTTCGTATTTAAGCGGCCTGTCATCACGATCCCCCTCCTCCTGGAGCCGAAAGCGTTAGTGGCTAAGCCGGCGGGTTCATGTTGCACTCAACAACGTCACCCCGGCGCCACAGTAGGGCGGCGCGGACCAGGCCCAGGGAGGAGGGCCTTCGAGAAGCAGCCGATCATGGCCTTTCCGAGGCGCGTCATCTCATCACGGTCGTTTTGGATACGGCCCTTTGACAGTTGGGTGATGGGGGAGGTGGACGGACAGAGGCCGCCCGCACTCCCGGATCTGCGGTTATGCGCAGCATTGTGTATGTAGGAGGCTCGGGAGGCACACCCCGGCTTTTGGATCTGGACGGACGATGCCAGCCGCGGGGCACGTCTATGTAGTTAGTGTAGGCATATGTTGGTATGCACAAAGGACGTTCACCGCTGCAAACACACGAGCCCCCGAGTCGGGTTATGATCCACCACCAGCCTCTTCCCTTTGCGGTCCAGCCCGCCCCGTCGTCGACGGCCGACAGCGAATCTATGCCCGCACTGATGTGCTTCCGGGCGGCCCGCATCGCATTGGTGTTCTTTTTTGTGTGAGCCCGTTCATGCAACCGCTCGCGACCCGTGGCCGTGTTGGGCAAGAAGCACGCCGTTTTGCCGCTCGGGAGGAGACGCAGGAGACGCAAAGTGTGCCAACCGCGCATGTAGCCCCATCGAGTGTCGGGGTATTGGGGCCGCGCGGCACTTGGACGGCGCTCAGCCAGGTTGGTAGGTGGCATGCACATTTCTAGTGCTGGCTTGTTGTTGTTATTGTTGTTGTTTATGTTTGTTATTGACTGTGCATGTGTTTTGTTCCCACATGGCCGGTATTGGCAAAGCCCTATGCCCGTGCGGGACCAGTCGTGGGTAAAAGACGGTACGCGCGCCACCCCCAGCCAAGACATCCCCCAAGGCATCCCCCAAGGCATCCCCCAAGGCATCCCCATAAGCTTGCATGCTCCAGTCCCGGCTCCTGACATCGTAACCCGGTTCGCCTCCATTCCAGGCTCCATGGAAGGTGGAATGGAATGCGGTGAAAGAATGGCTGAACGGCTGGGCGTCGTCTGGGAGTACGACATGGGAACCTAAGGGAACCTAAGGGAACCTAAGGAAGGGGAGGTGGGTTGACACGCGTGAGCGAGCAATCAGACACGAGAGGGCGTCATTCGAGCGAACCAGGAACCACCGACTGCTGTGCCAACAGCGGGCGAGTGAGACATCGGTCAATCGTTTGGCGCCCCGACCCCCTGCCTCTTGCTCACTCTGGTTGGCTGGAATCGGCTATCGTTCCTGTGCCTGTACCCTGTGCCTGCGCCGCTCACCCTCCACCCCTGACCACCTACAGCAAGCACTCACTTCAACCGCTGGGGGGCGGGCTTACCGGCTCGCTGGCCAATCGCGTCGCGCCTCAGCCCCGCGCACCTAGCTGATCCGCCCTAAAAAGCGCGCTCGGTGGCTAGCGCTGCACCCTCGACGGGTTCGGGTAAGCTACAACGTTCGAGGCTCATGGGTGGCACGGGCCGGCGGTTGTGTGGTGGGGTGGTGGGCGGTGGATGGGGGAAAAAAACCATTGGATGAATCGGGGAAAGCCAAAGCAGCGCAGATAACCCCCCCCCATCCGGATGGAACATTGGCGCTGAACTCTTATTTTCCTTTTTTGCTTTTTTTTTCTTTTTTTTTCGTCTTTACCGTCAGCCTTGATCCCTGTCCATGTCAGGCGCCGTTGTTGTTTCTCTGGCGTTTACCTGCGATTGCCTCCACCCGTTGTTCCGTTGGCTGCTGCTGCTGCTTGCTGCTGACCTGCTCCAAAAATGGAGGGCACACACACCTGCGCCGCTCCGGCCCATGTGTCGTTTCCCACAAACGGGTCCAAGGACCAACCAACATGTCGATTGAGGCATCAAGAGAGATTGACCCCAGCTAATTTTGGTAGGCAATCTTGACGACATATAGTTTGGTCGTCGGTTCGTTCATGCCCGCGTAGCCTTCCGGTAAGCACTTTCTGGTAGCACTCAGCGATCTGTGGGGAACCTCTGTAGCGAGATGGAAAAGGAGTTGCATCACAACAAGCCGACGCCTGGCCCCTGTCGATGGCGGACAGGGATGGGAGAGGAGGACGAGGGACGGAGTGAGAGGGCGGCAGTGACAGGGTGGCAGGGCGTGGCGTGGTGGGTGCATGGCGGCTCCGACAGCAATCAGGCACGGTTTCAGAGCGGAAGCTGCCCATTTCCATCCCATCTGCAGCCTACCTCCATTCATCCAGAGTCCCGAAAAGGGAGCACCCTGTAGCCAACCCGCCCAGGTACAGCTGGCCCTGCCATTGCCTGGAATGCCACACAGCGCTGCCCGCCTCTTTGGCAGGTAGTCTCAGACCCTGCTCGTACTCTGGCCCTGACTGCGTGCTGTCTCCATATCATCCTCTGCCCACCCTCGCCTGCCGGCTTGGGCTCGCCGCCTTTTGTTTTTGATCTTGTTCCCCTTTCCCACGCCAACAAAGCAGCAACATCGCCAGTCCATTGCCAGTCCGTCCAGCAGAGACGGGATCTCAAGCTGGTGTTGCTCGCTCCCCAAGAGGTTCCGCATACTTAATATTTATCGCTACTCACCACCCGCCGGACACAGCACGTCCTACTGAGTGTGCGAATCTTGTTCATTAATCCCGAATGTTTGGATAATCGATACACCGCCGCCGCCGCTCGCTCTGTCCCCGACCGCCGCTAGCCTTTGCGGCTGGGCCTCGTGCGACCTCGCACCAACGATCGACGACCACACCCCTCGGCCCCAAGCAACCAAAAGCAAAAAAAAAAAAAAAGAAATACACAACAAAAAAAGAGCCAACAAGCAATCCGGAAACGAGAGCTTCACCAGATAGGCCAACCGCACATCGGGCGATGCCGTCCTTCGCACCCGCCTCTCCTGAAGGTAGCCTCATCGCTAGCTCGGACACCATGGACGACTACTCGAGCCTGCACACCACCAGCCACCACTACCACCAGCATCTGAGCGGCGGGAGGGCAAGAAAGCAGAGCCGGTCCATGAGCCCGTTCCTCAAGACGCACGGACTACATGGCGGCAAGGAGAGCCGGATCCCGCAGCACCACCAGCAGGTCCAGCACCAGCAGTCGCAGGAGCCCGACTACTACGAGAGGAAGAGCACGAGCAGCAGCCTCGTGAGCAGCATCTCAAACGGTCGTGCTAGCGACGCCCCGCCAACCACCAATACCACCAAGCAGCGTGACCTCGAGTCTGGTCTGCCCCCGCCGCTGACCAGGGAGGAGTTTGAGGCGCTGCCGGTGGCCATCCAACGAAAGGTGAGATTGCAATTTCTGTTTTTCTCTGTTTTTGATAGGTCTGTTCAATGCCCTGAGTTGCCTACCCCAATCACCTCGAATCACGCCAATCCTGGCAAACCACGAATCGGCCGGTGGAGCTGGGCTGGAGGAGCTTCGCGATTGGTTGCTCGAGCACACGGGCTACCATGGAAGGCAGGCGCGCATTGCAGCAGGAGCGTGGAAACACAGACCCAGCATGGCAAGAGTGCAACGTCCACTCTCCCAGGTAGCGCCACCAAGCACGAGCACCATCAATCATGAACCATCGACCACCAAGCTTCCGAGCATCGCTTTCCCCCCGTCTCAAGCAAGTGCACCCGGCTGGCAAGGCGAACGGGTCATGGGGGTCTGGTGCGATGCGGTGCGGTGCGATGTGATGATGCACTGCGGCATGACACAGCCGCGGGCGCAGGAACAAAAACATGGCTTGCTTTTTGGGCGTCTTGGCGTTTTGCTGCCTTTTCTGCTGCAGCATCTCGGCAGCTCTGCCTGCTGTGCCATGCACTCTCGTCACTGCGAGGGGAGATGAGATTGCTGGGCCCGGCGGCTATGATTCGTTGTCACTGTCACTCGCGCGCTAGCCCTGCGTTGCAGCACAGCAAACTGCCCTTCATCACATCCAATTGCTCCGACAGTCAATCCCACCCTCCCTGCCCCCTCTCGTTCTGCCCATCCTGCCCATCTCGACCAGCCCCGTTTCCATCTTCACGTCCACACCGAGACGCGGGTCCCAATGGCAAAAGCCAATGGCAAAAATCATTGCTCTCCTCGAGCCAGCCCGGAGCTGGCGGCGGGGACATCGGTGCGGCATCGCCTGTTGCTCGTGTCCAGCCTAGCGGGTTTCTAGTGAACCATCCGGCAGGCTTCGTGGCCGCGTCCTGGGCGCTATCCCGTTTTCTCTCAACTCCTACCTGGGCGCGGGCCTCCCCCGACCACCAGGCCCGCATGCGACGACCGGGGTGTGTGCCAATGGCGCTCCCAAGCAACCAAGCAACCGACCCAGCCTTTCCCTATCCTGCCTGTGACCTGCGGGACCACCGCTCTGGCCGGTTGCGCTTGGGACCTGCTTGGGCGCCTGTACATGCAGGTCCCGCGCCGCCTGAACCCTCGGTTCCCTACCCCCCGGTTGTCTGGCCTCGTCCCCTCACCACCGCGCCCTGCAGCTTGGATGCCGTGCCCTTCGCGGAGCCAGAGGGAGTCCTATCCGGCATCGCCTGATGCTGGGATTAGCTCCCAATAGTGCGCTTCTGCATCTCCATGCGTCTCTGCATTCTTGATTGGCTGCTCGTGTTGTCCCGTCTACCCGCCCGCCCCATTTCTTGCATCTTCTTCTGGCCCTTGCCCGCGCCCTCACGTCCATGGCTCCAATGCTAAAACCAGAACCCGTCGCCCTCTAGTACTTCTCCACACTCGAGCGTCTTCAGTTTGCTCAATCCTCCAGCGGCGTGGATGGCATCTTCAGGCATTACTGCGAGACCTCGAAGCGCTCTAGGCCCCGTCCCGATAAGGGAGCTGTCGAGCCCTCGGCTGGTCGGAGAGGGCGCCTGTCGCTGCAGACAACGACCGACAACACAGTCGACACCGACTTGGTCACCTTGACAGACACACTCCCCGGCAGGATTCAACGCCACCAACTCACTCGCGAAGAGCAGGTTGCCCTGGTTAGGAATTTGCGAGCAAGTGTCATCCTCGACGCTGCCGACGAGGCCATTAGCAGGGTCCGCCGGGCCAGCACGGATTACGGAACCAGTATCTGCTCGCCCGAACGGTTGAGCATGGAGTCGCTGCGGTGCGAGCTGCCCGACACGGCACTGCACGGCGGTATCCGGGTCGTGCCATCCGAGGATGCCCGGCCCACGGGGGCCGACTCAATCTGTGATAGCTTTCGCTGGATGGATGACGACGAGGACCTCGACCTCCGTCTATTCCTCAACGACTACCACGCCAACCTGCGCGACACGCTGCCTCAGCCAACCAAGGACAACCACCCTTCCTTCCGAAGGCACATGTCCACCAGCAAGATCCAGTTTGGCCGGTCCTCAGTGTCTTCTAGCAGGCCGGGCACAAAGGGTGCCAGCACGCCGACGAGCCCGCTACAAAGCCCAATCATGGCCCCAATCAACACCACGCCTGCGCCACATGTACGCAGGCGGTCACGAACTCTGTCTCTGATCACGGCCAAGCACACCGCTGCAGAATCGCGCGAGACACTGCCGCCCATCGACCCCGCGGCAGCACATTACCAGGACCCCGAGGCTCGACTGAAGCTGAGGGTATATCTGGCGTCTCCCCAAAAGTTCGACGAGGCAATCGAGTTCGGCTTCCCCTCGACCGACCCCCGGGCCCCGCCACCTGTCCCCGCCAAAGACACAACCTCGCCACCCAGGAGTCACTCGAGACAGCATTCGTCGCGTGCGCCATCTCGGGCTGCTACTCCAGGGAAACTCGAGACGTTCCTTGCCGATTTCGATGACGACGACAACGAGAGCGACGACAAGCTCTCTTGCAGCGACCAGGTTTCATCGGCAGATCCCGAGTCTCCCAAGACGCCTCACTCCACCACGGACAGGAGCATGATTCGGCCGATGCGTCCCCCCAGGGTCCCCTCTCCGGACGACTTTGGGCAAGCCCCGGGATCATCCCGCGAGATGACGCTGAAGATGACGCTGACGCGACCGGACCTGCGGGCGACGGAGGATCAGATCTACGGCTGGAAGCAGCAGGGGGCTTATTACATGCGCAAGTCCCAGTCGACGGGCGGACGCGATGACATGTTCCCGCCAACCTTGCCCAATGAGAAGGACATCATGGACAGGAATCCCGGTGGCCTCGACCATTGGGGGCCTCCACAGGACCAAAACGTCATGAAGCGCATCTGGAACCGCGTGAGGAGATCGTGAGGTGGTTAGACCTGGTGTTTCTTTGTTTGATTGGCTTGCTCCATTATTAGCGACAGCACGAATTTCCTTTTTGTTTTTGCAATACCCGTTGCCTTACGACATATCAAAGAAAGTACCTTCTCTCTAACTCAATACATACATATAATGTCTGTCATATTCTCTTCTTCATTATTTCACTCTTGCCTCTGACATTTTGTCCTATGTTATCGGGATGGCTGGCACCCGCGGCTCCATGTGGATGGGCTAACAGTCGGGCGGCACAGCTTGATGAATCAAACTTCTCCTACATTCATGCATGCATGCATACCCAGGCATTCGACATGCCTTCTGTCCGCCAATATCGTGCATTTCGGTAACACGAGTTAGGGGCTTGCTCTTTCTTTTTCGTTCAGCCGAGACCCGCCCCAGAAGGCCTGAGCAAGGGGCTGATGCATGCACTGCGGGCGCCCCGAGGGGATGACGCGAAAAAGCAAAGAAAAAAAAGGGTGCATTTGAGGACACATAACTATACTTGGTGATGACTATAGAAGAAGTAAAAATGAAGGGGTGAGAGGGAGACGAGGCCCGTGTCGTGGTGTGCGGGGGTCACAGTGCCAAGGCGGCCTGAGCGGAAGGAGAATCTCTTTCATACAGTATGCCCTTTTTCCCTCCCTGCGGTCCCTAGATCCAGCAAGGGTGACTGATGTGTGGGCAGCGGACACGGTTGGGAGGGGAAGGGCCGGGGTCTGGGCTAGATTCAGCTCGCCTCCGCGCGGACAGGCATCAAGGTGTGCATTTCGTTTACGACCGAAGAAACACACAAGCACAATGATGTGAGAAAGGAACAGGTGGTGGATGGCTCGGCTACGTGTGTGTGTGTGGTGGGTTGGGTGGGGGAAGGGGGGTCCAAGCTAGGAAAAAATCTGTCGCGATTTCAGGCAAAGAAAATGGAAGCGGGAGGGTGAATAGCGTCTTTCGCGGCTCCTCGATCCAAAGGATCCGGCAGGATGGAGGGAACATGGCCTTTGCTTTCCCGTTGGCCCAAGCACGTTCCAGGTTGAACATGTCCTTTGGGTCCACCAATGGGCCGTCGGGGGATCCTTTGTTATTCTTACCAGTCTTACATTTTTAATCCAGAGGCGAGAGACAAGACTTGTAAGAACGCGAATGGTGGTTGGCATGAGGTCATTTTGTTCATCTCTTTCTCCTCGTTTCGGCTTGATTTGCTCCCTTTTGATGGGTGCCGATCGGGCCACTGGAATCCCGGGCGGGAAATCTCGCTTGGGCTAGAGCCGAGCAGTGATCGACGGGGTCCATTTTTCGATTTGCTTTTTTTTTTTGTTGCTGCTTGCTGTTTCCCGTTTCGATCGTCGTCAATGTTTTCTCTCCCCCAGCCCAGCCCCCCGCGCGCGCGAGGCGGTGGACCCACTTGTTACACCCCACCCCGCGCATCCACCCGTTATGCACCATTGATGTATGCATGCATGCGTATATGCACATTCTCAGGGGCTTCTCTCTTCTCTGGGTAGGTTCACGTTCAAATGTTTTTTTTTTTTTTTGTCTTCTTCTCAAAGTCGCACGCAGCACACCCCCCGCCCCAACGACGCAAGGGGGCGGAGAAGAAGGCTGTTTACGCACGCCTGAGACACACCGCAAAGGTGCCATTTTGTGCAAAGCACGGACAAAAGAAAAAGAAAAAAAAAGAAAAAAAAAAAGAAAAAAGCTCTGAGCGGCACCGACACTATATCAGCTCCGTCCGTCAAAAGGGCTCGTCACACATACACCCCCGCCCGGCGCTTCCGCTCCTCCCGATCCTGTTGGGGGATGGCCCACACCGCGCCCAACTCGTTGGTTTCCTCGGTTTTCTTTTTTTTTCTTTTTCCCCCATGGTACAGTAAGGGAGGTCACGCCGCATAACGGACGATTAGGGGAAAGCAAAAGAGCCGCCGGGCGGGGGCCCATACCTACTACCACCTACCTACAAACACACACGCACACCACACGTGTACGCATAGAAAGGCTGGTTCCGACCAACAGGTGGGGGGTAGCATCGGCGGCACCGACGGGCAGGGGAAAGGTGGGGAAGGAAGGGGAAAAAAGAAGACAAAAATAGGCAGGAAAGGGGAGCCCAGCCGCCTTCCCTGATGGTTGCGCGCGCCGCCTAGGCCTGGCGGGTCTTTTTTTTTTTTTGGTACAATGACCCCAACATGGCCTGGCTCTGCCTTCCTGATAGGCGTGTTTTTACCGCCGTCGACCTGTGGGTTCAAGATGTCGACCATGGAATCATGGCCCGGCAGTCTGCGCTTCCGCTCTTGCTAATGGTAGGTCAGCGTTGCGTCGCAGGGGGGGGAGAAAGGAGTCTACATGCATGTTGGCTGATCTCACAAACATCGGAAGAGCAAGCCCGGGGAGCAGAGGAGGGAGGGGGTCGCCCATCTTGGGCGCGCAACCAACTTGAGCCAACCCTTGGCATAACACTAGGTGGGTAGGTTAGATACGTGTGCTAAGCTGGGAAAGGTCTGCTTGATTCTCTATGGTCTTACAAGGGAGTGAGATGGATGAGATGGTAGAAGATCTTTATAGTGCCGTCCGCCGTCTCCAAGGTCCGAAACAGAGTACAGGATAAGGATACAAAAAGATGGAGAGACCAGCGAAGCCAAGCAAAACGAACCTTTCCAAAAACAAAGCGAGGGAATAGACGGCGATAAGGAAAGGTGAAACACATGGCTGCCGCCCGCCCGCACATTCATATAACCCGACCTGAACAAGCCCACGCTTTTACCTTGCCTTTTCATGTTTGGGCCGCCAGTACGCGGAAAGCCGGAAATCCTCTGTATAGGTCCTTAGCTCCAGAGAGAGAGAGAGAGAGAGAGAGAGAGAG